CCAGTAGACCTACATCACTGGTAGCATCACCATGAGAGTGTTCACTACAACGGCTTGTGTAGGTAAGACCTATGATAACTTGGGAACTAAAGAAATAAAATCTGAACAGTTGAGAGCCACAGGAATATTTAATCACATTAATTGACAGCGCTCGCTATTTAGAAATATGTAGGAGGTTTATCAGCAAAATCGGGAGAAACCAGACTAGCCATTCTTGATATTTCTAAGGGTTTTTTAAAATAACAGGAATAAACTCTTAATTTAAAATTAATTTTAAAAACAAACCTTTCCTTTCAAACCACCTTTATATATATTTTTTAAAGAAACAAAATATATCAGTTGGGTGGACAAAATTCAGCACTAGGCCAGTGGCAGATTTTCTAAACCTAAAATATCAGGTGACTCAGTGACAACAGATGGACTGCAGCTATATCTGAGTGGTATCTGCGAGAACTGAAACGGCCATGCGGTCAGCCTCCAAAGAAGTGGGATGATTTCTTAACAAGGAGATATGGATAAACATGGCAAAGGATGGCCAGAGCGAGAGAAGATTGGAATACATATTGTGATCGGCTCAGTCTTAACTGATGAAGGACCGAAAGCCTACGCAGTCTACGCAAAATATCAGGACTTTATATTCTGTTGTCTTGCATCCCTGCAAGGCTAGACCTTGGAACTGTATAATATTGGGAAGGGGGAAATCTACAGCTTCCCAGTGGGAACAGGCACTCACTTCCTAGGCCTGGAAGGGCCTTAGATAATGGACTTCAACGTTCTGAAATACCTACCATGGAAAAACATTCCATAATCAGTTTTAGAGATTTTCATAGTTCCCTCTGAGCCAGGGGTGGGCAAACTACAGCCCATGGGCCGGATCCAGCCCATCGGGGGGGGGTGGGGGGAGGGGGCTCTGCACGCTGCCCTCGCCTGTGGGTACCTCCCCCAAAGCTCCCATTGGCCGCAGTTCCCCAGGGGCCGCAGGGACATGTTGCCGGCCGCTTCCGGGAGCGGCACCAGGGCAGGCAGGCAAGGAGCCTGCCCTGGCCCAGGTGCATGTCACTGCCACCCTGGAGCCACTCCAGGTAAGCGGCGCCGGGCCGGAGCCGGAACCCCTCCCACACCCCAACTCCCTGCCTTGAGCCCCCTGCCACACCTTTCCTGCACCCCAACCCCCTGCCCTGAGCCCCGCTGCACTCCGCACCCCTCCTGCGCCCCAACCCCCGCCACGAGCCACCTGCCGCACCCTGCACCTCTCCTGCACCTCTGCCCTGAGCCCCCTGCTGCATCCCAGCCCACACCCCTCCTTTGCCCCAACCTCTTGCCCTGAGCCCCTTCCTGCAGACCGCACCCCTCCACACATCCTGCACTCCCTCCTGCACCCCAAGCCCCTGCCCCAGCCCTACATTCATGGCCCTGCATGCAATTTCCCCACACAGATGTGGCCCTTGGGCCAAAAAGTTTGCCCACTCCTGCCTGAGTCCTGCATAGGTGAATTTATAATAACTAAAGCACCTGTCTTTTGTAGGCAGAAAGTGTTAGAAATATATTCAATTTTTAATAATCAGGAATGTTTTACAGAGAGCTAAGTCTTCTTGTAATGTATGAGGCATATAAGTAATGGTGTGGTATAAAGCTTTTATTGACATTTGTGTGGGATGACTTCATAACTTTCTTGTAGTTATGAATCCACACTAAATTCATTTTGTAAAATGTCTATCCTGCATCTATCATGTATTCTCTGTATAATGCATAAGACATACATCATATATGTTTATATATAAATAATTGTCCTTTTTCTAACTTAGTCTTTAGGTATAAGTGAAATGTTTGTAACCCTCAAAGAATTGCAGAAGGTTTGCAAACATATGTAAAGGGAGGGAGAAGAGGGTAAATCAGCTTTTGTCCCTACTGATTTTGACAATCATATTTTTAAAGTTTTTGTTTTGTTTTGTTTTTTTAATGGAGGGTTAAATAGTATTCAGGTGGCTCTGGAAGAAAGCAGGTTCAACAAAAATTCCTGTTTTTGGTGTACGATTCCTGAAATAAATTTGGATATCTTTTGGTTTTTAAAAATCCATTTTATTTCAATTATTAATACACAACCTCATTACTTACATTTTGAAGTTGGAATCTTCTTAGTAGTTTTGTCAAAGGTGAGGTAAAATGTAATAATTTATGAGACTAAAATTTAAGGTCTTTTTTATATATAAACTTGTACTGGTTTAAATAAACTGGTGAAAACTAGTGTGTGGACCCTTATTTTGGTTTGAGTGGTTTATTTTGGTGTAGGTTAAACTTGTTCTTAATTGACTTACGGTAAATTGAAATATGTCAGTCTTAAATCAAAATAAGAGTCCACACTGGGGTTTGCACTGGCTTAAGGAAATCTTCTTAAATTAACAGCTTTATGTAAATCAATGCAACTTCATGGAGACAAGACATACCTGTTCTGGTGCATGTTCAGACTTTTCTGAGTTGAATCGTTTGTGCAAAGTTGTTCTACAAGAATGAAACACTTTTTCCATACTGTGGTGTAGGGATGTGATTTCCACATCAGAATATATTTGTACCTGAATGTATTGATTTATTTATTTTTGTCAAATATGTAACTGAGCCCTTTAAGTATGGCCCCTCCTGTCCCTGCTGCCCAGCCTGTCTCCTATCATCCTCCCTGAAACTTTCTCTCTGCCTCAGAGTTTTTCTGCCTAATATCAGTGATTCTCCATCTTTATCATTTTGTGTATTACTTTGTGATATGATCCTCAGATGATGGACCACAGTCCATGCCCCTCAGTCATCGTCCTTCAGCTGCTCTGTTTATTGAAGTGTTGCTGTAGCTCTGTTGGTCCCAGAATATGGGAGAGACAATGTAGATGAGGTAATTTCTTTTATTGGATCAACTTTGGTGAGTGGAAGGTACAATCTTTTGAGCTTCACAGAGCTGTTGGGATAGATTGTTGAGTAAAAGAGGTAACATGTTGGAGGCAGTCACTTGAAGTGGGCAATTGGAGGTTACTTTGTTATGCATAAAGGATTTGAAGTGGGCTATTAAGGATAGCAGGCAGTGTGGTATATTGCGGTTTGTTGTAATGAGCCATACAACCAATGTCCCTGTAATCCATGGCTTTTTGTGTCTAGCAGAATTATGAATTTAAGTTCCCAAGCTTGCTTTTTCAAAGTGTTGTGCAGATTTCCCTGGAATCACTTCATGAAAAGAGCCATCCAAATGCCCTGGGAGAGCCTGCTTCATTATAGGAAAAAGAAACCCACTGACCACTTAGGTGGCTACTCACATGTTCCCGGAATACTGTAAATTCCAGTACTTCCAGGAACAGCCTGGGTCCACCCCCACTGGCATGACCTCATACACACAGTTCATGTGAGGTCACACTGCACAGCGGGGAGCCATTTTTAAAATCACCTTGCCCCGTCACTCTCAGCATGGCGCATGTGAGGTCACGCTGCACAGGGGACGCTATTTTTAAGTGCTGGAGGGGTGGAGTGGTATCCCCCATCCGATATTGGACCAAACCAGACATGTCTGGTTTTGTCCCAGGTCCAGATAGGGGACAAACCTCTCAAAAAGAGGACTGATCAGTTTAATACCAGATGAGTGGCCTCCCTACTGACTGCACTCTCCTACTTGTCATCTGCCACCCATATAGGGTATCATCAAACAATTACAGCCCATATTTGATTGGAACCACATCCTGAAAGAAATCTTTCCCAAACCTCTTCTTCTGGCCTTCAAACAACTCCCAACCTCACCAAGCTAATTTTCAGAAGCAAGCTCCCCACAGACCAGCCCTATCTCCACTGCTACAATGATCAATACCTTGCCCCACAACACATCTTTCAAACTTCATGAGTCCTATACATGCTTATCACAACATGTGCTGTACTTCATCCAGTGCACCAAATGTCCCAATAACAACTATGTGGGTGAAATCAGACAATCACTATGCTCTCTAATAAACTCTCACAGAAAAATGATAAAAGACAAAATTACCATATCACCCGTGGACGAACACTTTTCACAAAGTGATCATTCCATTTTTGATATTTCAGTATTTGTCCTCAAGGGAAACCTGCCAACACCTTCAAAAGGCGAGCCAGAGAACTTAAATTCATAACTGTGCTAGACACCAAAATTCATGGACTTTACAGGGATGCTGGTTTTATGGCTCATCACAACAATTTGTAATACACACACTATCTGCTACCCTTAATTGCCCATTTCAAACCCTTTATGCACAACAATCTAACACCATTTCATTTCAAGTGAGTGCCTCCAACATGTTACCCCTTCTACTTAACAATCTGTTCCAACTTGTATTTATCTCTGCTTCCTTCCCCAGACCTGAAGAAGAGCTCAGTCGCTTGTACCTTCCACCAATAGTAGTTGATCCAATAAAAGAAATTACCTCACCTACCTTGTCTCTCCTTCTAGTGAATACAGCTGCCACTACAAGGACATACTCATTGAGGAGATGGATGGGAAGCATTGACTGACCCCGGAGATGCAGGGGTTGAAAGGGATAGAGGGATCCAGGTCTGGCAGAACTTTGCCTCAAGTTCCCAGCAGTTTTAGGTGACAAAAACAGATAACTTAACAAAGACATCATGCAAATTGCCCAAAATAATTTGATATCAAGTCAAAATCATGAGGAGTGTTAGTGAAGAGTCATTGACTATGGTCTTTGCTGAAAAGTGGTTCAGAATCTACTTTGGCAATCCCTTAGTATAGTGCAGCTATTAACTTTTTCTGTACTAAAGCTAGAACTCCTGCTATGAAATCAGAGAACTTTAAATCAAGCTTTCATCACACTTATGAGCACTTTATCAATAATAGATCGGGCAGTGTTGTATTTGAGACCTTTTTAGTTCTGAACATCTAGGTTTCTTTAGTAAATCTGGTCAGTTGTATTTAGTTTGCATTAAAAGTGTAATGCTAATTGTTATAACATGGAAAAAAATCTTTTTTTATTATTATTTGATAGCGCACTTAAAAGAAAGACTAGACGAGTACATTAAGCAGTGGAATGGCCTTGTAAAGGTATTTCGAAATGAGAGGAGAGAAGGTTTAATTCAAGCTAGAAGCATTGGAGCTCAGAAGGCTAAACTTGGACAGGTAGAAAATGTTTGATAAATAAAATCATTTGTATTTTCTTTACATTAAAATAGATATTTTTAACAAATCTTAAAATGGTTATTTTATTATGAACATTGTTGAAATAAGAATGGTTTAAATTCTTAAAACCTCACTATAGTGAGGTATTACACCATAGTGTAATAAAAATCTTGTATAAATTTGTGTCAAAATTTAAGATATATGATAATTCAATCAATGTGTGATTTGTATACAGAAATCTCAAATGATATATCTCCCTGCCTTTTTTTTTTGTTTTTGTTTTGTTTTTAAAGGTTTTGATTTACCTTGATGCCCATTGTGAGGTGGCAGTTAACTGGTATGCACCACTTGTAGCTCCTATATCTAAGGACAGGTAACGCTATCCTGTTTTCTATAACTCCGAAAGCCTCCTAAGAAGAAAAATAGTCACAGTAACAATCTTCATGTTTTAAACCATATTCAGTGTGTTGTTCACATTACAACTATTGTGTCATCTCCCAGAGTGGAAGATATGATCATGTAACAAGTGATAGTCATGCAAATAAATCTCTAATTACTTTATTTTAATGAAGGTACTCAAATGTAGATTACATTTAAGGAGAATCCAGTCTGTTGCAAAGACTTTATCTTACAGGCCCCCTGTTGTGGAAATGTCTTACTATAGATGAATGAGCAGCCCTCTTAAACAAGATTATTATTAAAGCTAATCAAAAACATTATATTTAAAATGGAGGTAGGAATTGGAGAGAGAAGGAGCTCAATTTTGATTTAGTGGGAATTTTCAAACTACTAAAGCCCCTGTGATCTTAAGGTTGCAATAATTATGGTAGTTATTACAAAAATACATTTGTTTCTCTTAAATCTAAAGTTAGAGAATTGTTTCAAACAAATCCTCGCCTTTGGGATGTGTGTGTCTTGTCTGCATTCCCAGACACTGTGTGAGTAGTTAATGTTGGAACCACAAGCCCTATGTGCACAAAACTCTATTTGAGCCTATAAAGAGGGCATGGACCCAACCTGCCTCCAATCCTTTGAACCACCTGGCTGCTGCAGTTGCTCTGTGCTGTTGTTTTAGCTTTAGTTGGCTTATTCAGTAGTTGAAAGAGGGGTATGGGAGTGTGGCATATCTTTATTTTAAAGCTGTTGAATCCCTCAGCCTATCGTACCACAAGAGTCTTAACTACAAGTATGTCAGAGGTTTAAAAAGTGCCAGGAAACAAGTCCTGCAAGGCCACTGCACTGGTGATAGGACAGGTCTCCAGGTGCTTCAGTTGGTTGGGATGGGGCACTTCTCTTGCTCCTGTTCAGTCTAATGTCCCTTTACCTGGGGGAGACAGGTTGTGGAGAACATTGAAGAAACAATTTCAAAGACAAAACCTAGAGAGAGAGATTGGTGCTGAAGGCCACAGCATTGAGGGGTGCTGATAGCTGCTACTCGATTGTACAAAGCCCTGAAATGGAAATTTGCAAAGAGTTAGATGAAAGAGCTACTTTTCTGGTCTCCTGGTTGGAGGTAACGCATTATGCTGTCATTTCCCCTTGTTTGTTTTTCTCATTGTATATAGCATTTGCCTCACAAGCCTGGTCCACACTAACCCCCCACTTCGAACTAAGGTACGCAAATTCAGCTACATTAATAACGTAGCTGAATTCGAAGTACCTTAGTTCGAACTTACCGTGGGTCCAGACGCGGCAAGCAGGCTCCCCCATCGATGCCGCGTACTCCTCTCACCAAGCTGGAGTACCGGCGTCGACGGCGAGCACTTCCGGGATCGATTTATCGCGTTTAGACAAGACGCGATAACTTAAGCTTTCAATTCAGTCAATGCATCAGCAGAGCCTATTATGAAAACACTGGGAGAAAAACAAGAGAATGTTAATCTTAATTGCATATTGTGTCTGATCACAGCAAACAGTGTATTTGTAAAAACCAAATGTAGAATCTTCTGATGGGATGTTTGGCCATTGTGTTTAAAACCACTGCTGAGAAATGCCTGATCCAACAGCAGCGAAGTTTGGTTTGTTTTTTCCCCAAGAGAATGGCTTTATAGGACAACAGTATACTGTACAGACTTGAATAGTGAAAGGCTCCATTTGCAACAGGAAGAGCTAAAACTTTTTTGTTTTTTGATCATTGAGATCCCACATAAATAGCAGCAATTATGGAAAGATTATAAAATCGTGAGATCTGTACTTCCCTCTTCCTTTAACCCTCTCAGGTCTCCCATTTTTCCCCCCGCATTGCCCCAGGCAATATTTTATCAGAAGGCCAATGTTAGGATTGGTATGTCAACATTTCTGCCATAACTTGTCTGCTTTCAGTATGCATTTCATAGATTCCAAGCCCAGAAGAGACCATTGTGATCATCTAGTCTGACCTCCTATATAGCACAGGCCAGAAAACTCCCCCAAAATAATTCCTAGACCATACATTTTAGAAAAAACAATAATTTATTTAAAAATCGCCAGCGATGGAGAATCCACCATGACCCTTGGTAAATTGTTCCTGTGGTAAATTTTTAACTGTGAGAGTAATTAATGCCTTATTTAACTTCTGACCATTGGATTGGGTAATTTGATGCTCTGGCATCGACATGTGGACTATTAAAGTATATTATTTTTTTTCTTCCATTAGAATGGAGTTTTACATTTTTGAGATGATACATATTTACATTTGACCTTTCATTTGTTACATTTCAATAAAAAATAAAAGTTAATGGTAGATGTATTAGATTAGACAGCATATCTTTCTTAAATTATATTTTACTCTCTTCTTCCCCTTCCAAAATGTTTCAGAACTACATGTACTGTGCCTCTAATAGATTACATAGATGGAAATGATTATTCCATTGAGCCGCAGCAAGGTGGGGATGAAGATGGTTTTGCCAGAGGGGCCTGGGACTGGAGTTTGCTGTGGAAACGAATTCCATTAAGCCACAAGGAAAAGACCAAAAGAAAGCATAAAACTGAGCCTTATCGGTAAAGAGTGCTGTTTTTATTCTGTGAATTGTTTTGAATGCATATCTAAATCATCTCATTTTTCCCCCTCTTTTCCCATGAACTACGATTCGTGTAAATGTGACATGTGGGTCCTTGTACCTAACCTCATCCTCACTGCCGCCATCCATAACCCTGCAGAACCACATGCACTGTGCCGCTCATAGATGTCGTAGATGGCAACACTTACACTATTATACCCCAAGGGGGTGGTGACGAAGATGGGTTTGCTAGAGGAGCATGGGATTGGAGTATGCTATGGAAGAGGGTGCCTTTGACCAAGCAAGAGAAGGAAATGAGAAAGACACAAACTGAGCCGTATCGGTAATCACTAAATCACTTACCCATTTCTCTTCTTAAGGAGATACTGATCTATTAAATACTTGCACGTATTTTTAATACTCTAACAACTGAAGATGCTTTGTCCAAAAAGAAAGCATCTTACTATTACTAATTATTTTGGTCAAATGCTGCTAATGTAGCTTCACTAACTTCTTGTGCCTCTCTGTTTCTGTTGTTATGTACTTAACACTTCTTCAAGCAAAATATAGGATGTATTTCAGAATAATAATTTTCATTTGGAAAAACATGTTCTTATCATTTGGTTTCCAAGCAAAATTCATGGAACTATTAATGGGGGCTCTTTTCAGGTATGGTTTTGGGAATAATAAAAATTGCTTACTTAATTGTTTGTTCCATAATAAGCATGCTACAAATGTTCAAAAAAAATTCATAATACATAAAATGTTTAGGCTGTTTTCTCTTATGGATGCATGTGTACAACTCCTTGTTAATAGGTCAATGCAAGTGCATCCGGAGCAATATAGGCCCTCTTTTTTGTGTCAGATCATTCCCACTTGCTTTATGGAAGGTCCCATCTGACCAATACAAGTGCACTACTTTGAAATCTTAGGAAGATAACCCACTAGCTCTAAGTTTGCTCTCTGTAATGTACTTAACTAAAAAAAATTCCAGTCGGTCTTGGGGGAGGGCTTTAATGAATTTCATGTATTCCATCCTATTTCTTTTGCTTTGTGCATGGAACGTTTTCTTTTCTATCAAAAATACATGCAAATTTTTGCTTAAACATTAGTGTTACTGGACTTTTTTTGAGACTTGGGAGGCTGTGATTCTGCTCTATATTTTCCCTTATACTACTGTAATCTTGTAACCAATGACTTTTATTTGAAAGCACTTTCACGTATTTAGAAAATAGTGTTTCATAGCACTTTTTATTTGTGGATTAAACAAATTGCAGGAACTGATGTTATGCTTCACTCAGCCCTCACCCTGTGATGCTTCTTTGCAAAAATGGCAAAACATGTTCAAGGAAATTATGAAGCTTTGGTCTATTCAGTACTTTATGTAATATAGACAGTATCCTGTCATAGAGAAGAAGGCTGTCCACATTGGAACTTTATCAGCACTAAACTACTTAGTGTTAAGCTGTTTCAAAGGTTGCTATCACATTCTTTGTCCACAACTTTATAAACTGTTTTCAGAACGGTTCTGAGAATCAGAATTTTAAAAAAATGGTTTAGGTGACAGCTATAATAGTTGAATTATTGACCGTTTAGCTCTCTTTCTGAAAAAGAACCATATCCCATTATGCCCAAGCTATATACACGTTTTACGGCAGTAATATGAAAACAATTAAAATTTAGCTAATCATTTTGCTGAAAATAGTAGTATAGGCAGAATAAACTGGTTCTTAAACATTTTGTAATGTGGAAAGATCCTCAGAAATCTTAGTGCTCACCACCTCAGACCTTGTAAAATGAACTGCTGAGCTTGTGTGGATTTTACAGTGTTCTTGTCAGAGGCCAAGATTCAAAATTCAACATTTCAGGCTTGTGCTCTCCTTTAGTTTTGGGGTGCTTGTTCTTTCTGCCTATTTCCTTTTTCCATATGATGTTCCACATCCCTGCATTATGCAGCTCTTTGGACTCTGAAAAGGATCCATATGATGCAACTATGTGGAATAAGGGGATGTCGAAAACAACTACAGTAAGTTTTCGTAGTCAAGGGGAACATGCAGGAAGAGCCCACCATACATCTGATCAGAGATTTTCACAGTGATAGATCCATAGTCTTTGTTGCTTTTGTTGGCCTTCCTCTCTGCACACCTGCCACTCTTCTGGGTTGCTCAGAGAATATGTGCTAACTCTACAGCTTAGCTTAAATGGTTTCCTTCCATTCATTTCTGTGCAGGACAGGAATATATAGCCATTAATATTTAAAAGGGATACCATCAAGTTCAAAATTCAATACATTAAAGGAGTCCTTAGTGTTACTAATGACACCACCATGAAACAAAGCAGATTTTTTAAAATCTATTCACATTTTATGTTACTAGTTTACTTGTTTGGATTTTACTTAGCTCAGCAAGGATGGGCTGGAGACTTTGGTTCTATTCCTGTCTCTGCCACAAATCATCCTGGTGACCAGGAGACTCTATAGCCCTGTTTCCTGATCTGGTTGGGTTGGGTTTTGTTTTGTTTGTTTTTAATAATTGCCTACCTCACAGGGGTTGGGTGAGGCTTAATTCGTTAATTTTTCTATAGTGCTTTTTGATCCCGAGGTGGACGACACAGTACAAGTCCAATGAAAATAGACTAGCTAGTTTCACTTTCATGTGCCTAGCACATTGCTAAAGAATTTGGTTTGCAACCATTGCAGTAAAATGCTTAAATCAAAACTAGAACATCTTTTCATTTAATAGTTTTTAATGTTATCAAAATTTTGGCATATGTAGAAGGTTTTACAAAACTCTTTTCTTAAACAAAACCTAGATTTGAAGCCTGTACACTGCCCCTCTTAAAAATTTCATTGAGAATAATTCTAAATTATTTATCCTCCATGCCTGGCCCTCCCTCCCACTGGTTTCACATTAATAATTTTTTTTAAAGTATGGATTAAACCTGTATAACTAGAATCTTGCACAATGAGATTTCAAGGTGGCAGCTTCTCAGAACACAATTTGTGTACTATAGAGTCTAGTCCACTTTACATGCTCTCATATGCATCACGAAATGAATAGACCTCTTCTGTTTGTCGCCACAATGGTTCTTGTCATGGCAATAAGTGGCATGTAACTTCAGATGCAGATTGGCTGAAAAGTGTGGGCCAATGCTCTATATAATTAATAAGTGACTGCTTTAAAGCAATCACAAGTATCAAATTCAGAGAATCATTGAAGGCTTCTAATGAACCAGTAATAAAGCCAAGTAATTTCTAAATGTATTGCCATCAGTCTAATCTTTTACACGCATTAACACGAAATTGCTTCTTCTATTAAGAGTAACTTTTTTTTTTTTTCCAGAGGACTGTCATGTTCTGTTGGTGAAAGGAATTACTTTGTTTGTTCTTTCTCTTAGGTCCCCTGCAATGGCTGGTGGATTATTTGCCATTGAACGTGATTTCTTCTTTGAACTGGGTCTCTATGACCCAGGTCTTCAAATCTGGGGTGGTGAAAACTTTGAAATTTCTTACAAGGTAACAGCAAAATTGATCTGCCTTTTAAAATGAAAAATTTACTTAGTTCTGGAAATACTAACATAGATGGACATGACTTTAAAGAATGCTGTCAAGAAACCTAACCTGCCGATATTTCCCCACCTTCCCAATCACCCTTCTGGGTGAAAAATGACCCTATGGTTCTTCAGAATTATGGACAATTCTTTAATAAAAAAAAAATAGGCTTCCCAAAACAAGGACTATAAAAATGGAAAATTCCCAGTGAGGTGACTCATCACCAACAAAACCAGGGCACTGAATTTTGTTTTGATTGCTAGACATATGCATGCTCTTCCATCCAGCAAGACATTTAAGATCATAAGAATTAGTTTCTTATGCCCCTTTAGACTCTAAAGGACCCAGATACAAGCAGAACAGAGAGCTGTGTCCCCAAAAACAGGAACAAATGTTTTAGACAGAATTTCTGATCGGACATCCTTGACAATGACCCTTAAATTTTGGGCTGAATTTTATTAAAGTAACTGAGCACATTTGTAATCAGATTGGTGTTGCAATCGGATCTCTCCTAATGAGCCTCAGTCCTCATTTGCAACACCTTTCTTTTTCCAGTCCTGGGTCTTGCTTGAGCAAGGACTAGTTTGGGTCTAGAAAGTGAGCAATGGTCTGTGTAGTGATTTTTGAAATGATGATGGAGGTCATTACGTAGTCCTGTAATGAACATTTAAACTAGTTTAACTTCTGGACAAAAATAAAACTGGAACACAACTCTTCAGAAGAACTGAAAGCCACTTTAACTGATGATGTGTTCGAGCTTACAAATATAGAAGTATTATGTAATATCAAAATTTGTAAAGGAAATCTCTTTAGTAAACATTTAAACAAAATTGCGGAAAGAAAACCAATAGGATAATAAGATCCACATAGTCAAGAAAGTAAAATATTATGAATAATACTAACTGTTATGAATAGATGGTCCCAAGTCATGCAGTCCTAATCTGGAATTAGATGTGATTTGGAACATCCCCAGTGTTTTAATGTGTTCAGATCATGTGTGATAGTTCAGGCCCATCTTTAATTATAAACATTTAAAAGCAGCATTATTTAGACTACATTTAAACTGTCTTTCTTTTTTCTTAAATTTAATGGTTGACCCTAAAGTGGTGTGTGTTATTGTTTCAGTGTTACTTTTTCATTTTGGTGTTCTTCACCTCTTTTTTGGTTTTAGCGTTACAACAGTAATGTTGATGGGTAAATGGGTTTCCATTAACTGGAGGCTTGATCTCTTCAGATGTCAACAAACCCCATTAAAAGACACAGTCAGGAATGGTCTAGATCAGGGGTGGGCAAACTATGGCCCGCGGGCCGCTTCTGGACCATCAGATGTTTTTATCCGGCCTTCGAGCTCCTGCCGGGGTATGGGATTGGGGGCTTGCCCTGCTCCGCCACTCCAGCCAGGGAGGGGGGTTCGGGGCTTGGCCCACTCTGCCACTCCAGCCAGGGAGGGGGGGTCGGGGCTCCCCAGCCCCCAACTCACAATTCCCTTGATGAGCACCATCTTTCTCCCCCCTATGCGGCAGCGCGCCCAATCTCCTTCCGGTCTCCTACGGCCCTACACTCGAGAGCCTTGAAAACACCCAGGGGCCGCACCCGTCCCAGCTAGGGTGCCTCCACCCATGACGGTGTCCGGTACGGCCCTCTTGGAGTCACTGCTGGCAGGGCCCCTAGGAGTCCCCGGTACTGCCCCTGTAGAGCTCCCCCACCCTCGCGCCACACCCCCCACCTTGCTACCATCTCTTATAGAGCCCCCCCCCCCCATGCTACACCCCATAGAGTCTCCCTCCCCCACCAGGCATTCATGCCTGCCATACAATTTCCATACCCAGATGCGGCCCTCAGGCCAAAAAATTTGCCCACCCCCTGGTCTAGATAATGAGTGCAGAGGACTGGACTAGATGACCTCTTGAAGTCCCTTCCAGTCCTATGATTCTATGAATATGTGATTAGGATTATCTCCTAGTTTGGGTGCAGTTGTCTTAAGTTTGTCCTTCAGTGACTGCTACTGTACTTTGGGATGAACAAATCTATCCAGAACAGAGTAGTCCAGTGAGTTACCCAAGGGTTCCATGTCCCCATAACTTTCATTAGGAAAAATATGTGGGGTGAGTATAAATGCAAGAACACTGCCTATGATGATGAAATGTGAGCTGATGTTTAATAAAATAAATCCTGCCCAGCTCCAGTTTCTGTATACCCATTTATTCCTGTCTTTGCAAATAGTCATGGAATAGGATCCCAAAAACATTATTTATAGAATGCTGTTTGTAAACATGTCCATTGTAGAATTGAAGAATGAATTGGATACAGCCCAGGACTTTTATTTCAAGCTCTCATTGTTAATTTTACTTCAGGCTTAAGCATAAATTTATTTTATGAGTTCAGCATGTTATCTAATTAATGTAATTAATTTTTTTAATCTATTGTAAATTAGTTTGTAATTGTTTGTTTTGTTTTTTTAAAAGTTTAGTTTACATGTGTATTGTCAACTTTTCCACCACTCTGTTCTTTAACTTATAGATCTGGCAATGTGGAGGGAAGCTCTTGTTTGTTCCTTGTTCTCGTGTTGGACACATCTATCGTCTCCAGGGTTGGCAAGGAAATCCACCCCCAGTGTACGTTGGGTCCTCTCCTACTCTGAAGGTGAGACTTTACTTAAAACTGCAGAGTAGTTTAACTTAAATAACAATGCTTGTACACCTACTACATTTCTTCTTTATTACAAGTCTTGGAGTATATGTCTCTAGGGAGTGCTCCACCGTAGGATGCGCATGCGCCCACACGCTTTAAACCAGAGAATTCAAAACAGTGTCCGCAGGCACTTGCCTGCACAGAGCAGAATCTTGTGCCTTCAAACGAGCATATAAGGAGGCAAGGATCTGCTGTCACTCGGTTCCTTTCAACTGCCTGCGGCTTGAGACAGAGCGATGAGTGTCCATTGAGTCTCAGCTTCCTGTTTTTTTTGTATGCTATTTTTATTCTTAATTTTTTTATTTCTTTAGTTTTATACAGTTGTTTAGAAGGGGGCTTATCTCCAACACCCCACTGTGTTATACTGTGGGGTTTAAGCCCTGCCATACCTGCCACAGGTCTTTTCCCAGTAGTGATGAACATTTGAGCTGTGTCAACTGCCTTGGAGACATCCACGGCCCATTTAAGTGTAAGGTTTGTACAGGATTTAAAGGCAGGTCTTGGAAAGATGGGTGGCTAGACTGAAGCTCCTGCTAATGGAGTGTTCACTAACTCAGTGGTGTCCGCTCTCTCCACCCCCATATGTCGGTCTTAACATCCGAGGCAGCCTCAGTGGCGGCATCACCTTCAGAGTTTAGGATTTCTAAGAAGCCTCTTTCTCTTTCCAGAGAGACTAACGAGGGGTAGGTCACCCCATAAATCACTCTCTGAGGTTCTATGAGAACCTGATATCAAGCCACCAGTACCCCACAAGAAGCAGCATGTGGATGGGGCTTCTAACAGACAGCACAGGTAGCAGTCTACCTCAGTACCGACTGATCCTTCCAGGCACTGAGATATGCACAGGGCTACGCATGCTCTGATACCATCACCTCCCTTACAGCAGGGCTCTGAGGTTGGAGAAGCTCCTCTACAAGCCTCATCAGTACTGTGCTCAACATCTCAGCAACGCCAGGCCCCAGCACTGGACACAGTTTTCTGGATACAATAGCCCTGCAGATTTCTTTCCCTGCAGATTTCTTTCCCTGTTTATTCCAGAGGTATTGGAGTCTTCCCTACTGTGATCCTCTGTCAGGGCTCCATCCCCAGTACTGCTCAGGTGGCTTGAACCCTAATTGGACCTCCAGCTTTCAGTACACCACCAATGATTGAGACTCCTCCCTTCAACCTTGGGGATGATTCTTCAGACTCTGAGGTCTCAGTACAGGGCTCTTTTTTGGTAACTTAACACTACAGGCCACTGAGCCAGTATTCTGGAGACCCCACCATATGTCCAAGAGTCAGGAATTATGAGTATCTGTGGGGACTCTTCTCCTGTCTCCCCTTACTCCCCCCCCCCCCCCCCAGTGGGCTTACTGGAATCCATTGGGTTATCTCTGTGAACAATTTTATAGGGTTCCAACCAGAAAGAGACCGCAGTACCGCATCATTCACAGGCACTGACTGACCAACTTTCAGTACTGCATGATCATCCTCTGGTACTTTGTGCCCCCTTGGCAACAGGAGATACCCAGGAACAGTAGGACTTCCATATGGATGGAAACTCACCCCCATTAGCTAAGTCCTATTCATCCGCAGATGAAGTGGAAATGGCACTACCACCTTCTTATGCCGATGATTTTCGGGCCTTTGAAGACCTCATATGAAACACCTGGTGGAAACTCTCCAGAACCCATTAGAAGAGATCCAAGAGACTCAACTCTCCTTGGTGTACATGTCAAATATCACCCCACAAAAAAAATCACCAAAAAATGAGGCGGTTATTGCCTGCTCATGAAGTCTGGCCAACACCCTATCACTATCCAGTCCACCTTTAAATGGGTAAATAAAAAGTATTATATTCCAGTCAAGGAGATGGAGCATTTCTTTTCCCACCATATTCCCAGTTCTCTAGTGGAGGACGCAATTAACACAAGGAATAGAGAGATTTTCTCCTTATGATAAGGAGTCCAAACTTTTAGACCTCCTGGGTAGGAAAAGCTACTCCTTGGCAGCTCTTCAGTTTTGCAAAGCAAACTACCAAACCCTGTTGGAGAAATACAACTTCAACACAAATTCCAAGTTCACTCATTTTATTGAACATCTGCCACAGGACCAGAGACAAAAAATTCAGGCCCTCATTTGAGAGGGTCAGTTGATAGCCAAAACCTTCCTCCAAGCTGCCCTCGATGCCATAGACATGGCTTCTAGATCCCTCACTGTGACTGTGGTTACACAGAGAGCATCTTGGTTCCAGCCTTCCAGTCTCCCAAGAGAGGTGCAGAATACAGTTGAAGACCTTCCCTTTGAAAGGACAAGCTCTTCAGCTGACATGTACTCTTCCCTCTACACTCTGAGGGACTCAACAACTACTTTGTGGTCACTGGAAATTTATGTTCATGCAACAAAAAGATGATTTAGTAGATCTCAAATGTCATAGTAATATAGGCCATTCCAGTCCACCTGCAACAGGTTTTTCCCAGGCTTTCAGAGGAGGAGATCTAGACCTCAGAACAGAGGACCCCATCCCCTTCCACAGCAATATCATCTGCACCTCCCTTTTAAGAAACACTTTTGACCTCTCGGTCAAAGGCCTCAACCAATCTACCTTCCATTTCCTCCTGGCCTGGGCACAAATTATCTTAGACAGATGGATTTTGGAGGTGATCAACATGGAATAGTGTCACACTGTCTGGAATGATTTATGACCATGAATTTCTGTCTCAGGGCAGATTGACAAAAGCAGAACAGACACCCCAAACTGGGGGATATGTTCTATAATTAATTTCAGCAAGCCAGTAACAAATGTGAACTCCTGGATCACAGTTTTACCATAGAGGCACAGGTAGACTGGAGAGCCCAAGGGGACTATCTTACCTAGGGTGACCAGACAGCAAGTGTGAAAAATCAGGACAGGGGGTGAGGGGTAATAGGAGACCATATAAGAAAAAGACATCTGGTCACCCTAATCTTGCCACCCAGGAAAACTGGACTTAGGGTATGTCTACACTACGAAATTAGGTCGAATTTATAGAAGCCGGTTTTATAGATATCGGTTTTATACAGTCGATTGTGTGTCCCCACATAAAATGCTCTAAGTGCATGGAGCCGGCAGACGGCATCCACAGTACAGAGGCTAGCGTCGACTTCCGGAGCGTTGCACTGTGGGTAGCTATCCCACAGTTCCCGCAGTCTCAGCCGCCCATTGGAATTCTGGGTTGAGATCCCAATGCCTGATGATGGAAAACAGTGTCGCGAGGGGTTCTGGGTACATGCCGTCAGGCCCCTCCTCCTCCGTCAGAGCAACGGCAGACAATCGATTTGCACCTTTTCACCTGGGTTACCTGTGCAGACAACATACCATGGCAAGCATGGAGCCCGCTCAGCTCAGCTCACCGTCACCATATGTCATCTGGGTGCAGGCAGACATGGTACTGCATTGCTACACAGCAGCAGCCCCTTGCCTTTTGGCAGTAGACGGTGCAGTATGACTGGTAGCCTTCATCGGCTATCTGGGTGCTGGCAGATGTGGGGCTGCATTGCTACACAGCAGCAGCCCCTTGCCTTTTGGCAGTAGATGGTGTACTAAGATTGATATCTGTCATCGTCGTTTCCAGTTCAATCAGAGGCACCTGGGCAGACATGCTTTGTCTCCTGGAGACTCAGTCCTGCCAGCAGTCCTATTGAACCGTCTTGACAATGATGGCTAGCAATCGTAGTACAGTATCTTCTGCCAAGCACCCAGAAGATGCCGAGGGCTATCTGTCATGCTGCACCGTCTGCTGCCAGCTTAAGATGTAAAAAATAGATGTATTCATTTGCTTCCCCCTCCCTCCGTGAAATCAACGGCCTGCTAAACCCAGGGTTTTGAGTTCAGTCTTCGGGGGGGGACCATTCTGTGTGACAGTTGTTTGTGTTTCTCCCTGATGCACAGCCACCTTTGTTGATTTTAATTCCCTGTACGCCATGTTGTCAGTCGCCCCTCCCTCCCTCTGTCAGTTTCATGCCTTTTTTCAGACCAGATGTCATAGCACTGGGATCATGGAGCCTGCTCAGATCACCGCGGCAATTATGAGCACTATGAACACCACACGCATTGTCCTGGAGTATATGCAAAGCCAGGACATGCCAAAGCAAAACCAGGACCAGCCAATGAAGCGATTGCAGCGCGGCAACGAGAGTGATGAGGAAATTGACATGGACACAGCCCTCACACAAGGTACGGGCCCCAGCAATGTAGAAATCATGGTGTTACTGGGGCAGGTTCATGCTATGGAACGCCGATTCTGGGCCCGGGAAACAAGCACAGACTGGTGGGACCGCATCGTGTTGCAGGTCTGAGACGATTCCCAGTGGCTGCGAAACTTTCGCATGCGTAAGGGCACTTTCATGCAACTTTGTGACTTGCTTTCCCCTGCCCTGAAGTGCCAGAATACCAGGATGAGAGCAGCCCTCACGCTTGAGAAGCGAGTGGCGATAGCCCTGTGGAAGCTTGCAACGCCAGACAGCTACCAGTCAGTCGGGAATCAATTTGGAGTGGGCAAATCCACTGTGGGGGCTGCTGTGATCCAAGTTACCAGGGCAATCAAAGACCTGCTGATATCAAGGGTAGTGACTCTGGGAAACGTGCAGGCCATAGTGGATGGCTTTGCTGCAATGGGATTCCCAAACTGTCGTGGGGCGATAGACGGAACCAATATCCCTATCTTGGCACCGGAGCACCAAGCCACCGAGAACATAAACCACAAGGGGTACTGCTGTGCTGCAAGCACTTGTGGATCACAAGGGACGTTTCACCAACATCAATGTGGGATGGCCGGGAAAGGTACATGATGCTCGCGTCTTCAGGCACTCTGGTCTGTTTCGAAAGCTGGAGGAAGGGACTTTCTTCCCGGACCAGAAAATAACCGTTGGGGATGTTGAAATGCCTATCGTGATCCTTGGGGACCCAGCCTACCCCTTAATGCCATGGC